TGACACGATGCGAGACTGTTTGCTTCTGGCAATACAGCCGGGTGTATAATATGCAAAGCTGAATATAACCGATATTCAAATAAGGCAGGTTCTTGTTGGAAAATGCGCTCTTTGAAGCACCTTGTTTAGCTAACATCCAAAGGCGCAACGTGCCATCGTTTTTCTGTAGCAGTTCACTGAAGCTGTTCCATTAATTAATGCATTAGCTAGATACCTGTGAAGTTCAGCATCAGTAATTAATTGAACGAGTGCTAAGCTCACATGACTCATAACAGCCAAGTTTCATTAGCAGCGACTTTTTACAACAGATCGTTTATTTACGGCTTTAAATATTTTAGCTTCTACAACATCGACGAGGGTAAATGCTCGTGTTGGGTCCATTTTTATAACACCATTTGCTGATGGATATTGATAAAGGTCCTTATTCCTGTAAACTCTGACGAATAACCTTGGGCCCTTCGGGGAGTTGATACCTTTTAATGAGAAGAAAAAGGGCCTGTTGATGTATAATAAAACGTAAAGGAAAAGTGTCTTAAACCCACCTATAAATAAAATCATACTACTTCTGGGGGTTACTTAACAAACCGCTACATGAATTGAATGTTGCGATTTATTTCCTAAAACATAAAATAATTGCTTGTAAAAAATGCTATATTTCGTAAAGGTTTAATATGTGTATGGACATAGTTACTACAAACTCAGTGATGTAAGCTTCTCGCTGTGAACAATTTTGTGATAACAGAAATATTTTTGATTTGTTCTTGATTAATTCGGTATCAAAACATTCGTGAAACGTTGTATCGAAATGTAATATTATATGTAAATTACATTTTCTGTTGAAAAAGTTTGTTGTGTCGCAGTAGATTGCTAAATCATATTTCAAAGTTGTTTGAAAGAATTTTCCAACCATTGTACTCATATGTTTGCCGTAAAAATGGAAGAGAATTTTCAAAAGATATTCTACGATACAGACGGTTTCTGATCCAACAGCAAAATTTTGGAGCTTTGTATACCATACAAAATTATTTTTCAATATACCTACAGAAATTTGCGGATTGACTGCAAAGTTGAACGGAAATATATTTTTCATATGTAAAAAGCCATATTTTTGTTCATGCAAATTGCTCACTCAGAAGACTTGATTTAAAATGGATCCTATGGGAAACAAAACCTTAACAGTATTTTTTCATTACGCTTAAAATCAGACAAAATATTAAGTTTGTAATCGTCTTTACTTTATCTGTTTACATTTAACGAGCTCCAATCGATAGCCATAGGGTAACCGTTATCAAACTGCAAATATGTTATATGCAATTTCTGTGCTGGATTAATTCAACTGCGGCCAATTTAAATCAAAGCAGTGAAAAATATTTTCTATTTTTACCCGAAATGGATGCTGATTGATCATTAGTTTAATTCAATCGGCTCATTCAGTTTGCCTCAGAATGTCTAATTTGGTTATTTTGAAATCAAGTGAATCTGAAGCGGGACTAGTGATATTGAGGGCCGTATATTATTGCACTAATCGCGATTAACAGTCGATCGGATTTAACTTGACTAATATATTCGCATGCAAATATGCCAAGTTGACGTCAAGTTAAATTGGATTAACGTATTAAAGCATTACGGTGCCGGCCCTAATAGATCGTATATCAGATATTTTATTTGCATTATTGCACATGTTTAATGATTTATTTATTTATCTGGCTACTTTATTTTATTGCTGAAGCTACTGCAGATACTTTCCAGCTTAAATCGTGATGGATGGCCTTTAAGCAATACTTCAAGATTATGTGAAATCTGAGAGAAGGATCAGATTGCTTTTGCTACTGCTGTCTGAGATCTAAACTAACCACAAAGGATCTCTAGTCTTCCCATTTATTGAAAGGAAAATATCTATTGATTTCACGGTTTCTGTGGTGAATGAATATAAATCTGTGAAATCTCAGTGAATTTTTAGGAGTTGGCGCAGTGCGGCGCAAATGGCTTGGTGCCGCCCAACGCACCGGCGTAGTAACTCAATTCCGTTTCTGGGAAAAGGTTGATGACTTTTTTTCCTTGTTTTTAGATTTATTTTAAGGGCCATTTATTAATAATGTTTTTTAATTGTCTTCAAAATTTCAGAATTTTCCTGTTTCAGCCGAGTTACTCTTTCTTCTAAATGCTCAATTTTCAACATTTTAATAAAGTTTCAGTTAAAAATGCTGACAAACTTAAGCTGTTTTCCGTGAAGTATTATGAAATACATATCCAATCCTTGGTCGCTATGTAAAAAGTTTGACAAAACAGACAAGTAGGCAGTAAAACAGAATAAGCGAAAGTTTATAACAGATTATCTGGAAATCTTGTCACCTACATTTACACCTACAAATTTATAGTTTTGTGAATTTTTTACAAAAATGCTTTTCAGCGTCGAATTCGAGGCGAAAACGAAAGTAAATTCCTCCCGTTTTTCCCCGAAGACCATTAAGATTTTCTAACAAACCGATCGCAAAACTAAAAGTTTTTAATCGAACACTCGAACATCGAAAAAAACATTATTTTCTGATGATTTCCTTCTTTTCTGACAACAATGGGGTCTTTTCAGCCAAAAATTAGCACATTCGTCTCATTTATCGGTTAGCAGGGAACTTTTTCAGCTTCAAATTTGACACAAAAATCAAATAATTTTATTCGGCTTTCTTACCGAAAGTAAATAAGATTATAAATCTAGTTTTAACAAAGTTTCTATTAAGCAAATCTTTCTACCCAAAAATCGCATTATTCGTTAGTTAAAACACTGGCACTCTTCAGGTAATTTGTGCCAAAAATTATAAGATAAATTTGATTGGAACATTTGCCTCCTTAACCACTTAGCTGCTTCAAATTATGGATAAAACCCTAGTAATTAATTCTGAGTCTTCCAAGAATATTTTCCTGAACTGAAAAAGCGAAAGTTTACAATAATTTATTTGAAAAACTCTTAGAAACTGGGGTTTCTTTACTTTTAGGTCAATATTTCTAACCAACACTGTCTCTAAACAGAAAAACACGCTTTTCCTAACGTTTTACTGTAAAATACTGGCAAACTGAATCTTTGATGCAAAAAAAATTAAGAGATCGATTTTACAAGAAAACTGGTAGACATTTTTGGGCTCAGTTCATGTTGTTGGGAAAATCTAGATTAACTTTTTTTTAATTGTTTGAACAAAGTAGGAAAACGTTACTCAGAAAAAATGTTGATGACCATTTGTTTAGATGATCCGTTGCTTTAGAAGTCTCGTGTCTGGTAAAACTTTAATAAGTGATTTATAACTAATTAACCGATGACTTTTAACTCGCTAGATCAGAGCTGACCGGCAACAACCCAATAGCGCAACTCAACACATTGTTACCCAGGCCTAATCTGGACTGAGGGCGTTACGTTCAGTCTTAATATAAAGGTCCAAAAGCACTACTCACAAAATCCGTTTCATAATTTATATTTATAGAGAAAATCATTTGCAGTATTAAATTTAGCAGGCATTCAAATTAGAACTCACTTATGGATATGTCTGTTTCATAGTAGCCGGATTCAAACACTTTTTGCGTTTGGTTGAGGTCTGCACTGCCCCACTCAACTGAGTAATTTGTTAATGACTGTTAGAAATGTTGCATTCGTTTGGCTGCTGGTTAATTTCTAGCATTTTGTAGTTCAATTTTTCCACAAAACAAAAACCGCTAGTGATATGAATTGAAATCAAAATCTGATAATAATCAAAGCTAGTTCCATGCGGCAAAACAGCTATCTGTGTCGCTAGAGCTACACTGATTATGACAAACTACCGCGCTAATGGAAAAGTTACATTAGGGCTCGGTGACATCCCAACATTCCCAACCCGTATAGGGCAAAAAGCCAACATTTATATTTATGTCCCTCCGGTTTAAAGGTCTTGTTACACTCTCGTGTAGGCCTGCCTTCATTTACCTTAATAAGGTTCTCTCTGCTGACACCATAATTGCGAAATTTTCGTTATTCACTGCGAGAATTTCACAGTAAAAGCTCAACATTCAACAACTAACTTAAGTAAAAATTCTTATTAAAGTCAATTCATTCAGCTTTTCTGAATTTCGGATGCATCAAAAGAATATCGGAGATGTTCCGGTTTACGGTCTTTATTATCAACGAATAGCTGCATTTTAACTTTGATTTCCCCAGCTTCTCTAGCCATAAAATTTCGAAATATCCGTGCCGTTTTATTGGGTTTTTATACTTTGTCGTCGATTCTTATTTAATCGCACGTAGATAATCGAGATATTTGGAGAACAAATATTACAGACCTGTTTAATAAAATGTATTAAAAATGCTGTATTTATATATGAATTATGAATTAACTCTATTGAAGTCTGGCGAATTCCGTTGAGTTCGCTCAACAAAGGCATTCGCCCACGTTTATATTTCCTAGATATACAATGCACAGTAAAAGAAATCACAGTCCTTTTGTCAAAATGTCATGTCTGTTTCTCCGATACGATTATTTTTTCTATTTCATCTTTATCTGCTGTTATGCTCCGTTGCACAATTACTGTTCAGTCTTCTTTATTCATTTATGTGCAATACTTAGCTGAATTCAGAAAAGAAAGATCGCTTTCGCGCGAGATAGAAATATTTTTATTTTTGCGTTGTGGCTTTGGTCTAGTTTCAAGCTTCGAAGGCTTCGTAGAATAAAGAAATTGCACAAATCGACTGATGGATTTCTTTAACAGTTGATTAATGAGTGCTTGACTGTAAAATTAAACGAACCTTGATAGCTCCGTTTTTTTTTTAACAATTTTAGATAGTATTTGTCTGAGGATCATTATGAAAATGTATATTTGATGGCCCTGTTTGGATCGTACCTGTCTAAGGGCCATTGTACAAAGCCATCTTGTGTACGATTTTTTCTGTTAAATGTACTAAAACCGGTCAGAATTGGGGAGTTAGAAGCAGCAGAGCTATTTGATAGTAATTTGATGTTTCGAATTTTTTCTTTTTATTCCAGGAGTGGTTTTGTTGGAATTGGAACAGCTGATCGTCCCAAGTCACTCCTTAAAGAACGACAGTGTTGTCATGCAGTGCCACTACAAATTAGGGGACGAAACGTTATATTCGGTAAAATGGTACAAAGATGGCAACGAGTTCTACCGTTATGTTCCCAGGAATTCACCCGCAACGCAGGTCTTTCCTTTGGTTGGCGTCACTGTAGATGTAAGTGAAACCTATGATAACTAATTAGAATATTCAAGAAAAAGTACGAAATTTTTGGTTTTCAAAAACCAAATCAAAGGCCAGTTTTTTTTTAAGTTTGAACAGCGAATTAAAATCGCATTTGAAATGTTTTCATTATGTAACAACTTGGAGTTATCAGGAATGCGATTTCACTTGGCAACAATTAGTTTTTCAAAGCATTTTATTTTTTTACTCGCATTGTCCATCAAATTTGTGATTTTTTTGTGTAAAAAAGCATATTTTTACTTGATTTGATTTCTTCTCATCAACTCTGTGTTTTACGAATTTAGTAAGCTTTGAAAATCTTCGGAAGCAAAAAATTGGTTTTTGTAATAGTCTCACTCTGTTTTGAATGATGTCAAAGTGGTCGTGATTGCTCATTTTGCTTACGAGAAATGAGCAAAAACGGGACGAACAACAGTAAATTTGGGAAAAACCTTGTATCTAAATGTCTCATATTCAAACTTTGTTTTCTGGGTTAAAATTAATTTACTAGAATTTCCTCACTCGTGTTGTTATGGCTCAATCAAGTTTTCAATTTTCTATTTAACAATTCCAAAACGAATTCTGCGGCTCAAATAGTTTTTGAGCAACTTCGGAAAAAGCAGCGTCATGTTTGAGTCGATTTTGCAACTCATCAAAGAAAAGACGCGCAGATCTGAAACGTCTTGAAACCAAGAGTTTTTTAAGAAAACTGCCAACATTGCCGTTTCGACGGTTCAGTTTTTAAAAAGCCCATTTAATGCTGTGTGGAGTGATGTAAAAATGAGGGTCATTGCTCATTTTGCTTCCGAGAGACGAGCAAAAACGGGACGGAAAACATGAAATGTTGGTATAATTTTGCACCTAAATGTCTGATATTCAAATTTGGCATTCTGGATCAAGACTGCCCGAATTTCCTCACTCATGTGGCTATGCCTGAATCGAATTTTCAATTATCTATCCAGCGATGCCAAAACGAATTCTGAGTTAGACTAAACTCAACTAAACCAATGAAAATAAAGTGCCTTGTTGTTCTGCTGTAGTTACTAATACTAGAAGCTGCAAATCAAATATATTAAGCTAATATTGTCGTGTAGATATAAAATTAATTGCAAAATATGTGGCAACTTCGAATGCATCGAATTTTAACAAAATCTTTAAAGCATCATGCGTACAAAATTGAACTGGCTCAAGAGCTAAACCCGGAAGACTTTTTACAACGAAGAGCCTTTGTTGATTGGATTTTGGAACTACGACAATCGGACAGTAATTTTTCAACAAAAATCGTCTTTAGTGACGAGGCCCCTTTTCATCTCGATGACTTCGTTAATCGACAAAATGGTCGCACGTGGGGCTTCGAACATCCACCAGTGATCGTTCAGGAACGGATGCATCCAGAAAGAGTGACTGTGTGGTGCGCATTGTGGGCTGGAGGCAAAATGCAGTTGGTCAAGCATTATTATTATTATTATCTCAGTTATCGTGAATTGACAACTAACTTTCTTGTCCGAAAATTGCAAAATATGGATCTCAACAGTATGTGGTTTCAATTGGACGGTGCAACATGCCATACAGCTGGATAAACTGTTGAATTACTGAACGACTGATTTCCTGATCGTGTTATTTCTCGTTATGACGATTGGCAATGGCCGCCCGTATCATGCGATTTAACGCCTTTGGACTTTTATCTTTGGGCTTGTTTGACGTCACAAGTGTATGTGAAGAAACTAACAACGATTGAAGCCTTAAGTTTGAAGTTGAAGTTGAAGTTTAAGTTGAATGAAATTCAACGCTGTAGCTCTGAAATACTTGAGGTATTTCATTTTATGCGCAACAGTCCTTGAAATTTTCAAGAAAAGAGCACGTCTGTGCCAACAAAGCCGCCGAGGTCGTCATTTGTCCCATGTCTTATTCCATTCGTAACCTATGCATTTCATTTTTAAGCAAATGTCTCAAACTTATGCCACAAATATATACAGGTTGATTCAAAATTGGCGTTATTCCTTTTAAGGGGTGATAGAGGGTCCCTTGGGGAGTACGAGAAAAATATTGAAAATTTTTTTTTCCCAAATTTCTCGAAGATATTAACAGTCACTGTGTATATTTTCTTGACTGTATTTCAACTTAATTCAAAAGAAATTCCTGGGTTCCAGGCAACTTTATTTTTTACCATTTAAAATGTTCGTTCAAAACGTTTCTTTGTTTTTCTCCCCCATCATCAGGTGGTATGTATGGTGGACAAAAACACCGAAACGTGTTTATAACATTTTAAATAGTAAACAATAAAGTTGACTGGAACCCAGGAATTTCTTTTGATATTAACAGTTGAAGATCGAATTTCAACTTTGTTATTAAGCATTATTTTGAAATTGTTCCATATTTAATTGGTAGCATTTTGGAATACTTAAGAATTCAACAAGAAAAATTACGATCTTTGCTTCAAATTTCGAAAATTTTTGGTATCAAAAAAGTTCTCTTCTACAATTTTTTGATGAAAAGGCACAGCGGCAATTTTTCGTAATTAACAGTGACCCTTGTCAATAATAACAATAATTTGTCAAACTGCGACTTACTTTGAATTTCCTTTCACGAATTTGCGGATATGCGATTAGCTCCAGGGAAATGCTACAGTAACATAGCAGAATCTGAAAGAACTCACGCCAACAAAGGGCGAGGAGAGTGGTTCCAGGAAGATGGTGGACGACAATCGATGTTCGGGTTCCACGCACAGAGGAACAAGTATTGGACATAATCGAATCAGGGCCTTCCAGGGGCACTCAAAGCACAATTACTGACAGTTTCCCAAGCACCAAATAAATACCGAGGAAGGGCTACATTCCTCCCACATTTGTACGATACACACAACACAAGGAGATACAAATGGAGCAGGAGTTAATTAATTGAACACGACAAGCTGCTTGATAAGAGTGGATAATAAGGATATTACACAGGCTCTAGCTTGTTTGGAGCTAACCATTCAAATGTCTGGTGTCGTAAGGTTTATTTATAAACATTCGAGGTTATGAGAACAGGTTGACATTTCGGAAGTACGTTCCGCAGTCAACAAATCTTGTTGAATTTACCGTTTATCCTTGTCTATCTTTTTGTCACTCTGTTTAATTCCATGGTTACCGGAGTTTTAAATAATTACGAAGCAACAGGTATTTGCGCAATGTCAATTAGGCAGATTACCTTGAAAAACGTTGCTGCCGTATTTCTGATATAGTTTTTTGCAAATTTCTCAGTTTTTAATAACAATTAATTGTTTTTGCTATTTTTTCTGTACTCCTATAAAAGCGCCAGACAACACCTCCAGAGGAATGACGCCAATTTTGAATCACCCTGTATGTTTTATTTAAAATTTAAATCCGTCGTTCTTATTGGAACACCCTTTCCAAAGGGCCCAAAACGCAGTAACACAACGAAACCCTGATGACTTTGCTCTAGCCGTTTTTATTTGTCAGTATGGAAATGAGATTTGGCTTGTCAAGAACTACAGGGTGTTTGGTAAGTAGATGTATTCCTTTCAGGGGATGATAGTGCAAGTAATTCTGGATATACTTCGTTAATAGCCCACGTTCCGAAAACCATTAGTTTACGATCTACAGGGTGTTAAACTTTTAATAAAAAAAAATGTTATTTATTAATATTTCGTAAACCGCTTGCAATATTATAATGAAATTTGACAGGCTTAGGCAACTAAGAACAATACACGTTTTGTGATCAAAATGTTGTTTCTATATTTTCCAGTGGCGTTGGTACAGGCACGTCTGTAGACAATTTTAAATACAAAAATGTTACGCTACTGATTTTTCTAAAAATTAATAAAAATTTTTAAGTTCCTGTTCAATTTGGAAGAGAAAACGTCTCCTCACTTTTTTTCTACGACGTCGCCTTTGCGAGTATAATCGGGTTTTTATTAAAAAGTTGGCTCTGCACTAGGTTTTCTCACTGATTGGCAAAAGTAAAAATTGCTGTCATTTCGATTGTCTGAGTAACCTTGCTGTCACCTTCTTTTTGCGATTTATGTAATTTCGAGTAAGTTCACATAAGTTGAAATCCCTGAGTTTTCCAATGCTGAATACGCAGTTATTCTTTATATTTATGGACTTTGCGACGGAAATAGTGGCGGCTTCCAAATATCCGTGTCTTTGCAAACACCTATCGAAGGGTCAGTGAGTCAGGTAAAGTACAAGGTATACAAGGTAGGCAAATTCACGTAGGAGCTCCAGCACGTTACGGCACCAAAGTCGAAGAAGCCATTCACAGAACATCCCCCTATATATAGGGGGGATATTTTATGAAGCCATTCTAAGAGTTTTTCGAGAATATCCGACGACAAGCGTACGCGTCGCGGTTAGGCGTCTTACAATGTCACAGTAGAAAGTTCGGGCGACATAGAACAAAGAGAAACTACATCACTACTATTATACTCCGGCTCAAGGCTTGCTGGAAGAAGATCCTTTAAGGAGAATGGGCTTCTGCCGATTTATGTTAAACGCTGATATGGAGAAGTCAACTTTTCTCAGTTGAGTTCTGTGGACCGATAAATCAAATTTTAATCGAGAGGGGACTACCAACTACCATAAGGCTCATTACTGGGACGAGGAAAATCTCCGTTTAACGTCGGACCGTAATTACCAAAGACGGTACAATAAGACAGTTCAGTGCTAATGTTTAGTGTGGTGTAATAAACGATCAAATAATTGGGCCACATTTTCTGCCAGACATCTTAAACGGGCAAAGATACGAAGACTTTCTTATTAATCACCTGCCACCACTACTCGAAAATGTGCCGCTAAATATTCGTCAGAACCAGAACTTCCAGCATGACGGATGTACTGCACATTGTCAGCAAACTGTAAGAGAGTACCTTGATCAGCGTTTTTCTAATCGATGGATGGGGAGAGGAGGCCCCATATCATGGCCTGCGAGAAGCCCAGATCTAACTTCGTTAGACTTTCACGTATGGGGTAGAATGAAAGAGTTGGTTTATG